GCAACAGGGACCTAATAGGGGCAGGGGCTTAATTGTTTACAGGAGTCTATAACACCAGGCCCTAGACTCCACCCCCAGGCCATTCCTGGATTCTGCCCCCACTTGGCCTGTGTCCTGTAAGGTGACTGAGGTCGTTAGGTCTGCGGGGCTCTGGCCTTGAGCTGGCTCTCACTTCAGAGGAAGGCCCACAGCCAGCGAGGAAGCCCGGGAAAGGCCAATGCTCCCTAGCCCCTGGGGGGTGCCCTCAGTTCTCTCTCCCCTGCTGAGAGGAGGCAGAGGCCTGGCTCCAAAAGTGACCCACCATGTGCCCCCAGGCAAGTCCCCTCATCTTTCTGGGGTCCTAGTCTCTAAGGTGAGGGGGCCTGGAAAAACTTGAGGGGGTCACTGAGCCCAAACCCTGGCCATCTGAGGCCAGCCCTCCTCTGCTGCCAGGGAGAAGTCTTGTCCATCCAGAGGGCCTGGGAATGCTGAGTGAGCCGCAGCTCTGTAGTTCCCAGCCAGGGTTCCAGGCTGCTGTCCTGGGAGGGAGGGACGCACTGTCGTGTAGTCCCCATTCTACACAGGAGGAAACCGAGGCTTGTGAGCTAAGCGGCTTATCTGGTGTCTGTCAGGACGTGAATCCAGATCTCCTCTCTGGGACTCCTGCAGCCTGGCCTGGGACTCAATCCCCAGCTCCTGTAGGTCTCCACCCAAGTGGGGCTGGAAATCCAGGGAGTGACCCTGCAGCTTCCCTGCTGGCCGGCCTCAGCCGGGCTCCTCACCTCATTGAGCCCCATTTCCTCTGTAACATGGGGTCACAGTTGTCCCCACCTCAGAGGGCTGTGATGAGGCTGAATGAGAAGGTCCTGGGCCCAGAGCACCGAGCAAAGACCCCACCAGTGAACTGAGTTCAGAAATCTCCAAACTCGGGCCGGCCCGGTGGCGCACTGCTACAGTGCACCGCTTGGGAAGTGCGGTGGTGCTCCCGCCGAGGGTTCGGATCCCACATACAGACCGGCGGCTCACTTGCTGAGCGAGGAGCGGGGGCAACACCGAGGGTTGCGATCCCGTTGCCGGTCCCGGTCCGGTACAGGTGCGACACTGAGGGTTGCGATCCGTTGCCGGTCACGAAAAAAGACAAAAAGACAAAAAAAGAAAAAAAAAAAGAAAAAAGAAATCTCCAAACTCAGAATTACCACATGTTCTCATTCATATATGGACGCTAAAAAAGTTGATCTCATGGAAGTAAAGAGTAGAATAGTGGTTACTAGAGACTAGTAAGGTGGGGGGTGGAGAGTGGGGAGAGGGCGGTCAGTGGATACAAAATTGTAGAGGGAAAGAAAGAGTAAGGTCTATAGTTTTACAGCAATGTAGGGAGACTACAGTCAACAGCAAATTACTGTATTACTACAAGTAGCTAATTGAGAGGATTTTGAGTGTTGCCAATACAAAGAGGTGACAAGTGTTTGAGGTGATGGCTATGCTAAATACCCTGATATGATTATTGCAATGTAAATGTACCCAAATATCATATTGGTTTTTGGGGATTTTTTGGTGGCTGGCCAGTATGGGGATCCAAACCCAAATATCATATTGTCCTCCATAAATATATACAATTATGATGGGTCAATTAAGAAAAAAAAAATTTTTTTTTAAATTTCTGGAGACAGAAGTAGATTAGAAGTTACCAGAAACTGGGGGAAGGGATATTAAGAAGTGATTGCTCAATGGGTACAGAGTTTATGTTTGAGATGCCAAAAAAGTTTTGGAAATAGAAGTATTCGTCACACAGCATTATGAATGTAATTAATTCCATGCTATTGTAATGTTTTAAAATGCTTAAAATGGTAATCCTTATGTTATACATATTTTACAATTTTAAAACAAATAAAAAAAAAAAAGAAATCTCCAAACTCCTTTTAATCTCCCCTTCCAGAGCTATAAAATGAAGCTAATAATAGTCCCTGCCTCCTAGGGCACAGCCTCCTCCAGAGACTCCTTCTCAAGAGCTTCCCCACCCCACAGTAAGCAGGGGCTTCTGTGCTATGAGGCCAGTGGGGTCCCTTGAGCAATCCCAGCTCATGGATGACAAGGCCTCTCCCTTGGGACCTGAAAATATGGGATTTTCACTGCTGATGGCCTTTGAATCCCTGAAGGATGTTTATAACCATTGTACAAAAGAAAGAAACAGACTTAGCAAGGGGAGGCCACCTGCCTGAGGTCACTGGTTTCTCCTACCTGGAAGGAGGCAGTTTTAGCTGAGAAAGGACACCCGGATGGGCCCTGCTGCTCCATGGTCACTTCCCACCAGAATTTTTCAGCCACTGGCCAGCAGGTAGCCAGGGACCTTGCACCTTTCATCCCTCTGGCTAGGGCACAGAGAGATGCACAGGTGTGGGTCTCTCTGCCAATCTCTGCCAGGGGTTCAGCTGGGGCTGTGAGCCTGCCTGGGCCAGAGAGGGGAGGACGAGTTGGAGAGATTCCCAAGACCTCCCCCACCCTGATGGGACTGGAGGCACAAGTTCCTGCCTCTCCAGGCTGCAGAGAGAAAGGTTTTACCTGATAGGTTTCTGCCCTCATCCTGGGATCAGTCCAGGGACCTCTTGGCCTCCCAGGCAGGATTCCAGAGTGTAGGACTAGTCAGAATCTCCCCAAGAGTTAAATAACAACTGGGTGGAGGTTAAAGGTGAGCAGGCAGTGGGGAGCAGGGAGCTTTCCAGACCTTGTGGCTGGGCTTGCTGGGCTTGCCATAGAGGTGGGGCTGGCTTCATCTGTCTTCTTCCAGCCCTTTCTGTCACAGCCCACCTCCCCTTACAGTTAAGGTCTGTTTTGCTGATATCCTGGGAAGGTTAGGGGCGGGGGCAGGACACAGTGTCCAGCATGGGCACAGGATGCCCTTGACCTCAACAGTCCAAGTTTGCTGGAGGAAGAGGCTTTGTTTCACCTAATTATTTTGTCAAAAAAACCAGGACACAGGACACAGAACCTGGTCCCCGGCCTGCAGAGTGACATTGAGAGCACGTCCAAACAGACTGATAAAGGCCTATCCTGCTTACACAGCCTCTTCGGTCACTGGTTTGTTTCTTCCCTGTGTCCTGTATCTGAGACACTCATTCGTGCCAGGCACTATCTAGGTGCTGGGAACATGGTGAAACCCCCACAAGGCCCTGCCCTCTGGAGCTTTTATTTCAGGCCACACACCTCCTCCCACATATGGGGATTGAACCCACGTCACACCAGGGCTTGAGGCCGAAGCAGGACAAGAACTGACACATGCCTGGCCAGTCCTGGCTCCTCCTCAGGGTGGACTTTTGGGAAGAGAGCAGTGGAGGTGCACTTGGAGCCAGCAGCTCTAGGATTTAAGGTGTGCTTTGGTTGTTTTAAAATATGGTTTAGGGGCTGGCCAGTTAGCTCAGTTGGTTAGAGCGTGGTATTATAACACCAAGGTTAAGGGTTCAGATTGCTGTACCAGCCAGCCACCAAAAATAAACCCCCCCAAAACACAAAGATCTAAAAACTAAATTCCATGAGTAAAAATACTAAGGAAATATATGAGAAAACACAAAGAAGCATAAAGGACAGAACCACCCACTCTGCACAACGCTCCCTGAAGGCTTCCCAGTCCTTGGCCCTTGCGCCCACTCTCACCAGCACCCATCCCCCATTCCTTGAGGGATTTCTGCTCCTATGTCTCCATGACCCCTTAGCTGACCCCCTTTTTCCCTTATTCCATTGTTTTCCATAGAACTGTGTATTATTCCGTTTCTGTTGCTTATAACAAAATATCTGGAACTGGGTAATTTATAAAGAAACCATATTTATTGCTTAATTTGAAGGCTGGAAAGTCCAAGATCCAGGGAACTCATCTGGTGAGGGTCTTCCTTGGTGGTGGCTTCAGCAATACATGGTATCACATTGTAAAAATGGTGGGGACAGAGAGAGAGCTAACTTTCTCAGTTGGCTTCTTTTAAAGCCATCAGAACCACGCCCATAACCACCATTAATCTATCAACTTATTACCGATCCATTCACTAGGCACAGTCCTCACAATCCAATCACCTCTTCAAGGCTCCACCTTTCAATTACTATGATAGGATTTCCCACTCTCCCAACAGTCACAGTGGGGATTCAGGCTCCTAACACTCAAAACTTGGAGGACACAATTCAGTCCTTATCAGTAGCCAACAACTTTTTCTAATTTTCACTGGCCTTTTGTGAAGTCCTGATCCAGGTCAATTTCTGAAACCTAAGGACAGTGCATGAAAAGTTTTGCCAATTTCTTTCCTGGCCCTTCAAGAAGCCCCTACCTATTGACAAAACATAGAGAATTTACCTCAAACATGCCTGTCCCCAACTTCAGGCTCACAGGAAATGTGCCCACAGAATGTGCTGCTCCTGAAGTGTCCCAGCCCTAAACCCTCAAGTTCCTACCTTCGCACAAACTGTTCTCTCTCTACTGCCTGCTCACCACCTTAATGCAAGCTGCTGCCACCTCCCTAAACCCTTGTGACCCTTCAACTCCTCTGGTCACTTCCCCTCTGTGGTCTCCAAGCCCTCCTCCACCCAACAGCCTGAGGGACCTTTGTGAGTTACAGATCTAATTGTCATTCCAGTGATTAAAAGCCTTCTGCAGCCCCCTGTGCTCCTAAGTTTGAATGTGTCTATCAGCCACAGTAGGTGTGCCCACCAGGGTCCTCACTGGAGACACAGATCAGAGCAGGCCCTTGCCAGTTCCCTCCAGGGGAACTGAGACCCTTTCCTCTGACACTGAGCAGAAACGAGCCACAGGGCATCATGGTACCTACCCTTCAGGGAGCATGACGGCAAGTGTTCCAGAAGGTACCCAGGAAAAAAAAAAAACAACACAAAGTCTTGAGCGGTTACATAAGGGAACATGAACTGGGACAAAAAAAATCAAAACTTCCGGCAACCTGACAAATCCCATGCCAACTGTCAGGTCCAACCTGTTGGCTGCAGGGTAAGAGCAGGGAGTCTGAACACAGAACAGAACACATAGCCACTTACTGGGAAAAAAAAGTCAACTTTTAATTGTAACTGAACATCCAGAAATGTCTTTCAACTGAACAAAAGAAACATGATAAAATTCTACTGAAGAAACAGGGTTTTCACTGGCCCCAGTGCTTCTGAGGGTCAGGCCAAGAGCAGCCCATTCCTGGGGCCAGCTCTATTCTCCACTCAAGCTTCTCATCCCAAGAGGAGGGTTGGAGGTGGGCAAGGGACCTGTCCCCTCCACCCATCATGCTGGGAGCTCTTAGAAAGTTACTGTGGGGTGAGCCTCTCCTTCCACCCCATTCATGTCCTAAGGTAAATGGAGACCCTCTGGACACCATCCAGAAAGCCAGGGAATGAGGCAAGACAGTCCCGGTGCCTTCATGGCCTTTCCGCCAATGGACATTTCACTCCAGTCCACTTGACTGGTTGTTCCCACTACCCGGGGTGAGGATTAAACAAAATATGCACTAGAGAAAAAACTTAAATGCCTCAGCATCTCCACAATGCAAGTCACATAACAGAAGAAAACATAAAACGATAGCCCTAAAGAAAAGTGCCCACCCTCAGAAGACACGCTCAAACTCCGTCTGGTTGGTAGTGGTGGGATTTCGGCTTTGGTTGGTCGACTGCTGGGTAATCTGGCTGCCCTTCCGGCGTGGTGGCGCCAAGTACTCGAACATGGACGTCAGGTGGGTGGATAGCATGCCCTTGAGGTCCGAGGGCATGGGGTCGGACCAGAAGAAGTCATGGTTGAGAGCGTCGTCACTGTCAATGCGCTGTGCAGGATCCAGCACCAGCAGCTTGTCGATGAGGTCCAGTGCGTAAGGGTCACGCACGTAGGCCTTCAGTCTCTCCTTCACCTTCCGCTTCTGGCCCTTGACCAGTTCCAGCTTCTCAAACAGCTCATATTTGTCCACGTTTGGCCATACCTGGGAGGGAGGAGGCATTGAGAAAGAATGGGGTTTGGTCAGGGGTTGTGTGGCTTGTCCCTTGGTCCGGCACCTAAATGGACTCAAACAACTTCTACACTTGGATGCTCCCAGACCATCCTTGGAGGCAGAACTTAACCCCTCCAAGGTGAAAGCAGCAGTCGTCACCACTGTCACACACCAAGTGCCTAGGCCCTTTTACATGGATTGCCTGGAATATGTATGCCAATCCTGAGACAGACGTATTTCTGTTTAAGAGGAAAGAAACCCAGCACTGATTCAAATGCCTTGCCCGAGGCTGCAAAACTAAGTCGTCACAGTCGAGACTTGAACACAGCCTAAGCAACTCTAAAGAGCAGGCCCTGTCCCTCCTCCACCAGCGTTCTCCTCAGAAAGGAGCTTTCCCTCTATTCCACACCCCATTCCTCCTCCACCAAGGAGACTCGGATCTCTGCACTCTGTGGGGACCAGGAGCCTGGGCAGCTTGGCCACATACCTCTGGGGTGATGGAGCCACAGAGCTGGCTGATGAGGGCAAGCTGGTGCTGCTCTGTGTTGCCCTGCATGATAGGGCTCCGGGTCCACATCTCTGCCATGATGCACCCTGCACCCCATAGGTCAATGGGGGGGCCGTAGTCCCGCTCCCCTGGGAAGAAGAGCACACCAGTAGGGCCCCTTGAGTCTGAGGGCCTCTTGAGACTCAATGCCCCATGGCCGGCGACTCAAGAAGCCCAGGCAGTGGGGGGTTATGGCCGAGTAGGTGTCTGGTCCCTGCCTCCCTCTGCCAGCTCGGTAGTCCTCACCAAGCAACAGCTCCGGGGGCCGGTACCAGAGTGTCACCACACGGTTGGTATACCGGTTGGGCTGGCTGTTCTTGGCTAGGCTGAAGGCCCGGGCCAGCCCAAAGTCTGCCAGCTTTAGGACTCCATCACGGGTGATGAGCACATTAGCAGCCTTCATGTCCCTGTGCAGGATCTGCAGAAAAGACAAGAATGGGAGCTCAGCCAGGTTCTGAAGGCCCTCTAGCCACACCCACCCAGCAGTGGGAGCAAAAGCCAGCCCAAGCCTTGGTCTCTCCTCCCCACCTTGTTCCTGTGGATGTAGTAGAGACCGTTGAGCAGCATCTGCATTACCCTCTTGATCTCAGAGAGCGTGAACTTGACCAAGACATTGCTCAGCAGCCCAGCAAGGTCATGCTCGCAGAAGTCAAACACCAGGTATATACTGCCTTTGCAGCGATTATAGGGGGACGCTGAGGCAGGAAGAAGAAAAAGTTAAAAAAAAAACCCATACCCAACTCATTTTTTTTTTCTTTTTGGCAGCTGGCCAGTACAAGGATCGAACCCTGGACCTTGGTGTTTAATTCACTTTCCCACAACCCAGCTCCTCCACCCTCCAACCCACAGACCCTAGTGCCCTCCAGAGCATCCACATGTTCGTTCCTTTACTGGTAAACTATTTTCTGAGTGCTTCCTGCTGTGGCAGGCCCTGGGGAAGCATCAGCTACACCAAAAGAGGACCAGGAAAAACAGTCACTATTGACTGCTGAATTGAGAGGAAGTAAATCTGAGTTGAGAAGAGGCCATTTAAGTTGTCCAGTTCCAACTTTACTAACAAAATCTTACACTATAAAACTCGTTTTCTCATGAGAGCCAAACGACTTACCTTTGGTTCGGCAAATCTCAATCAAGTTGACCACATTCTCGTGTTTTAGTAGCTGGAGGATCTTGATCTCCCGCAAGGCTGTAATGGGGAACTGGGTGGGAGGAAAAGGGAAAGTGCTGAAAAGTGAGAGCGCTACAGGGCAAGGGCGGCCCTGGGGCCTACATGAAGGGTCACAGGCTGGGAGACAGAGTAAGACCATGGGCTCGAAAATCAGCTGTTTCAGATGTCTTATCTGTAAAATGGGCGTAAAAGTAATATGCACACCTGGAGGAGCTGATCTGAAACAATAAATTGAACACTTTACTATTAGTCATTAAGTGCTCCACAGTTTCAGTCTTCAAACTTTAGCTCTACACCTGTTAACAAAAATAATGTCTTAAAAAATGTCCTTGTTAAGAAACAGGTCTCTAGGAAACAGGACTAATGCTAAGATGGTGGAGGGAAGGGACCGCTCATTTTCAATACATTCCTTTGAGTATTAAGACACTTATTTTTATTTATTTATTTATTTATTTTTTTTGTCCTTTTTTTGGAGACCGGCCGCACTGCGCTCAGCCAGTGAGTGCACAGTGCACGGCCATCCCTATATAGGATCCGAACCCGCAGTGGGAGCGCTACTGCGCTCCCAGCGCCGCACTCTCCCGAGTGCGCCACGGGCTCGGCCCTTAAGACGCTTTTTAAAACCATATGCATGTGTGTTCGTAGAGGTTTTATTTTCTTCTCAGAAAATCAGAAATGCATATAAACTAATTTCACATACATACATATACATCATGATTGATTCTTTAAATTCACTTGCATATGTAAGCAAATTGCTGATTTAGACAATTCTAATATTAATTTGCCTATAGTTGTAAAACCTAAAATTCATAAATATTTTCAACTCTAACTTACATAAGATTTATTTTCTGGTTATTTAGAAGTAATTTATTTTGGCAATGGACATTTATTTGTCGTTTTTGAGGAATACTTAATATGCTAAATTAGATGATACTGCTAAGAAATTTAAAATACGTTCTGACAGCATTTTAATATTTGTAGTCTATTGGTAGGCATCTTTGGATGATCTTTGTTACCTTTTTTTTTTTTTTTTTCCTTTTTGTCTTTTTTCGTGACCGGCAACGGATCGCAACCCTGTGTCGCACCCGTACCGGACCGGGACCAGCAACCGGATTGCAACCCTCGGTGTTGCGCCCGCACCTCGCTCAGTCAGTGAGCGGCCGGTCTGTATGTGGGATCCGAACCCTCGGCGGGAGCGCCGCTGCGCTCCCAAGCGGCGCACTGTAGCAGTGCGCCACCAGGCCGGCCCTGTGTGTTCGTTTTTTGAGGTTTTTTTTTTTTTTTTTTTTGCATTAAACAAAATTAAACGTTAATAAGGAAAAAGGGTTTAAAACCTTCCAAAGTTCGGGAACCGAGGTGCACTCAATGCAAGCATGAGCTCCCCCTCCTGGCCCCAACCATATTAACCTAAGAATGAAACATCAAATGTTTCAGAACGTTTGGATTTAAAGATTTACCTTGGAGGCCAAATTCCTGCAATATGGAAATTTCCCGAACTACTACATATGGATTAAATCCCAACATGAGACAGCAGGGAGGGATTAGAAGCAGCAGGGTGGAAACCCACCCCCGTGTTTAGGGCAGCTGTTAGGCTTGCCCATCCGACCTGTACTCACCCCCTCCTTCTCGTTTTCCATCAGCACCTTCTTCAAAGCCACCTTCTCACCGGTCTGGCGGTGCTTGGCCTTAAACACCTCCCTGTAGGCCAAGAGGGAGACTCAAGAGAGCTAGCTCATCAGGTTGTTTCCGCAGGGCCCGCCCCTCCCCCACTAGAGAAGGAGGGGCAGCAGGAAAGAAGAGATTCCCGGGCGGGGAGGGGCGGGGCCGGGTACCCAGGGCACGAGGCAACCCCACCACGGGGTATCTTCAGTCTCTCTCCGAGCCTCTGCTTCCCTCAGTCCCTTCTCCTCCCTCAGGCCTCTCTCGTAGAGATCCCACTCCCCTCACACGCGCCTCTCTGCAAGCCCTCCCCGCCCCCCACCACAGGCCTCAGACTCCTCCCAGCCAGCCCGCTTCGTCAGGCCGGACCAGGCTGCGGCGCGGCCTAGCGAGACCAGAAGACAAGCTCGGGGACCGGCTGCTTCCCGACCACCTAGCGCCGGGTCCCGGACGTCCAGACGTCGACCCTAATGGGTGCAGGCCCACAGCTGTCGGCCCCTCAGGGCCCAGCCTTACCCGAAGGTGCCTTGGCCGATTTTGGCGAGCTTCTCGTATTTGGTCACTTCATCACAAAAGGGGCACTCTACCGAGTCGTACTGCTTTGCCATTGCC